TCTGGTCTAACCAGGTTTGCAAGGTAGAATTGGGATCGTGATAGTTGTGTGTGTGGGGGGATTAAATTTAATGTAAAGAAAACAAAATTATCCTCAAAACTGGACCCCATGGACAGCATCATGATAAATGGTGACAAGATTGAAGGTGGCAAGGATTTCATCTTGCTTGCATCCACATTTAGTACTCATGGAAAGAGCAGTCAAGAAATCAAGCAATGTTTTGCATTGGGATAATCTGTTTAAGACTTGTTGTCTACAGCTGTGGGTCCTTGTCCTACTTGATAATCAAATACAACAGGCTCTGTATGCCAAAGAGAGATTATGGTGTCTGATTAGATAAGAAAGGTGGGGGGGGGGTGTCTCTGGACAAAATGCTACTGTCCTAAGGCATTCAACTCTGGACCATAACCGACTAAGGATAGCTTTGAGAAGAACAGGAATCCCAGAACACTGCATTGTACTCCTGTGGAACCTATACATGAATCAAAGAAGGGAATCCTGTATGGTTTAAAATCAAGAAGGGTATGCTTATGGCTTACAGCTTAATGTAAAGAAAACAAAATCCTCACAGCTGGACTAGTAGGTCACATCATGATAAACAGAAAAAAGATTGAAGTTGTCAAGGATTTTGCCTTGTTGGGATCCACAATCAATGCTCATGGAAGCAGCAGTGAGTGTTAAGGGGTCTGCAATGGTTTTCCCCTGTTCTTGCTCCTGGTGCTGAAAGAATTTCCGCGCAGAAGCACTTTTGTAAATCCAAGTTACTTTTAAGAGGGAAGGGGAGTTTCGGGTACTACAGCTTCAGATAGTACCTGCTATCTCCGGGAAGCGTGCAGTACAGGGTGGGCCGTGGGAGAGTTGGAGACTGAAAATAGCCGCTCCGAAGGCTCGTGTTTGCCTTCCTCGCCTCTACGCCTTAGAGTCTAAGCCTTAGAATCTAAGGAGTATTCTTAAATAGGCACGAAATTAACAGTTATTCGTATTTATTATATCCCTAGAATATTATATTTATTTACTATATCCCAGGAATATTATATTTATTCCTATTGACTATATCCCAAGAACATAATAAATACTGCTTCGTATTATTTATCCGTGTCAGGGAATCGTCATAAATTCTAAGTGGATAGATACCAAATCGCTTTTGAGATCTGTTCTATTACCCAGAACCCCACACACAATAGTAACTAGTGAATGTAGAGGCGGATGAAAGCTTCGCAACGACCCCAGTGGGCAGGTTGAGCCGCGTCTTCCCTCCCGCGGAAGCTGGCTGAGCCCCACCTTCCCGCCCCTAAGGTAGAGACAATGTTTCCCCCTAAACCCACCGGTCCCTTTAGCTCCGCCTTCCCCTTCCGGCAGAGGAAATGTCTGGACGGCAGTGGGTTGGGCTTAGTCCCCTCAGCCAATGGGAGCTCGACGTGGGGCGGGGCCACGCAATGACGCCGTTGCGTCGACGCGGGCCGGGCGCGTTTCCGGTCTCAGAAGCCCTCGCGTTTCGGAGCCTCCTCAGCTGGCAGTTAACACCGCGCCTGAGTCCTGCTGACCGCCCACGTCCATCTCCGGCGGCACCATGGGGGCCGTGCTGGGCATCTTCTCCCTCGCCAGCTGGGTGAGTGCCGGGCTCTAGTGTCCTGCGTTCTTGGGGAAGGCGGGGAGGGAGCCCTAAGCCCAGGCCGAGAGAACCCCAGCCTCGGAAGCCTGTGGGGCGGGGGCCAGGCCCTGGCCTGCACCACGTCTCGGGGGGCACGGACCCCCGGCTCTCCGGCCGGCGCCCAGCGGCTTCCTTGCAGTTGGTCCCGGAGTCGGCGGCGCGGCTTCCTTTGTTTACATTTCCGATCGCCCCGCCCCCGCAACCCTTTCCGGCCCTGGGTTCCGGGGAAGCTGGTGGGGGTGGGGGGCTCGCCGGTTCTTTGGGGATGCGCGTCTCTAAGGCGGCGCTATTTAATTTGAGGTGTCTTGAAACATATTTTTTATCGCCCAGCGCTGAACTTTGGCCAGAACTGGCTGTGTGGTTGAGTTGGATTCTTACCGAGGCCTGTGGCAAGGGAAGGAAGGCCTTGTGGATGATTAACCAAAATTGGAAGCTGTGGGCTGGGCATTAGGGGTCCCCGACCGTGTCGCTTAATATGAGGCACTTACCTTCCTCGAGGGAGGTTGTGAGGTTAAAGGGGAAGATGCGTCAAGCCGCAGAGAGAACTGTAAACGCCGGTCCTTTAAAAAAAGAACAAGATTTCCGGATCGATAAGGGTCTTCAGACCCGCTTCAGGGAAGCAAGGCAAGATTCCCAAACGTCCTTTCCTCGTCCTAACTTTCCAACCGGTAGGAGCAAGACTCAAGCCCACTCCACCACCCTTTGTTGCGGGTCAAAAAGAGTATCTTCAGTTCTTCGAGAATGTTGGACTGGAAGCAAAAGGACGTCACATCAGTAGAGGGTTCCTTTAAATGTTACTTTCCACTTTGTTTGATCGACTCCATCGCAAACTCATCTGATAGAACCATGTAGACACAACAGTTCCTGAAGATATTCTCTCTCTGACCATCTGCTGAGCGAATTGTCTTTAATATTCCACTATGTTAAAAGAATTCTGGTCTGACCAGTATTGTTGATTTATTATTTTTATGTTTTGAAGTCCACTAGTCAGCAAAGTGGACAGGCTTTTAGAAGGTCATTAGATAATGTCTTGCTAATTTGAAACAAATATACCTTTGGATTATTTACAATGCATTTTGCCTTTGACCTATCTTATTTTTTAGGCAGCTTTTTTGGGATCTCTGAAAGAGCTGTTTTATAATTGTTTTTGTAGGAACCCAGCTGAGCAAAAAGGATTCCATTTTCTTCTCTCTACTTAACTCTTGTCAGCAGTTGGCTGTCCTGTGTCCGCCCTCCCTCCCCAATATCCTGACAGACCTTGACTCTCCAAATGCTTGCCCAGTTAGCAAGAAATGTATTCCATCCTACCAGACCTTGATGTACTACCTGCAGATGTTCCTCCTAGCCCCTCCATGTGTCCTACCTGTCCTATAAGCCAAGACTGCAACTGTCTGCATGTCTCCCCCGCCCACGCCTCCTTAAGCTAGCCCTCTGTCATTAACTATAAAAATCATTTCCTTTCTTTGTTTTGGGTTGAGCGCTTTCCAGGCTCTAGCCTCCTCTCTGCCCAGCTTTTAAATAAAGGCTTATTAAACAGTGTGATTTAACCTCAAGTGGAATAGAACCGTTTTTAACTGTGTTCTGCTTAGTTGAAACAAAAAACACCAAACTCACCACAATCCAGGTCATGCTGACTCAACAGCAAGCCTATAGAGTTGGGTAGAACTGCCCCTGAGAGTTATTGAGACTGGAGTAGAAAGCTCATTTTTTCACCCACAGTTTCAAACTGCTGACCTTACAGTTAGTTAGCAGCAGCCCAATGTGAAACCACTGCACCTTCCGGGGTCCTCAGTTGAAACAAGGATTGGAAATAACAGCAGTGCCTTACAACTAAATCTAATTCATTCTTTGCTGTGTTGAGTTTGGGAGAATTACAGTCTTGGAACTCCTTGGACATTTCCATGCTGTCCTATAGGGTCCCTGTGAATCAGCATTGAATTTATGGCAGTGGAATTTGTTTTGTGTTTTCTTTTTATGCCTCGTTACTGTAGAATGCGTTTGGAATAGAAGATGTAAATTCAGTTTCTTAATGTTTATTATGGAAGCCCATGTTTTAAACTCGGGCCCTGAGCAAGTCTGAGACCGTGTGAAGACAGGTAGGTGAGCATTTTCCTCTCAAGGGAAGGAAATGGTAGAGAGCAATGTCTTGTGAGTTTCACAAAAGCAAAAATTAGACTGTTGACCTGCAGTTCAGATGTAAGGACCGCATGGCTTTACTCTTTACAAACAGTTTTATCCCACTCCCCATGCTTTGAGTAAATACTGAGTGTTAATTAAAGCATTGACTGCCCAAGCGGCGGTTCAAACCCACCTACCATTCCATGGAAGAAAGATGATGTTGACCGCTCCCATAAGGACTGACAATCTCAGAACCCCTTTGGAGGGTCGCAGTGAGTTGGGATTGACTCGATGGTAGTGGATTTTCCCTGTTTCACCACTCGTGGTGTCCTTTCTTATAAGTGCACATACTGCCGTCCAGCCCATCCTGGCTCTATAGGACAAGGTAGCGCTGCCCCCAGGGGTTTCTGAGGCTGTAACTCTTGGCAGGAGTAGAAATCCTCTTTTTCTCAAGAAACAGCTGGTGGTTTTGAACTGCTGACCTTACGGTTAGCAATGGTATATAATCACTATACCTTCAGGGCTCCTAGGAATATGCCAGTGAACCAGACAAACAAAAATCCCTTCTTAGTGGAGCTTCCATTTGCGAGGGACGTGGCAGGTCATACAAGAACTACAAAGTGTGTTAGAAGTAGGTCCTGTGGCAACAATAAAGCTGGAAGTCCGGGTGGGAGGTAGGATACTGCAGCTTATGGAGTGGATGATAGAGTGCATAAGGTGACTGAGGAAGGTGCCAGCTGAGGGAAGACCTCAAGGAAGTGACAGAACCAGGGCCATGCTCCAGGTGAGGTGCTGTGTGTTCAGTAGGAACAGCTGAGCTCAGTGCACCAGAGGGAGGAGGAAATAAGTCAGGTAGGCAAGAGGCAAATTCTTTAGATCCCCCTTTGAGTTAGTTAATTATGCAACCTGGCCGATAAACACGTGTGGGGCTAATTGAAA